GCAACTCCCATATCTGATAAGGGACGTGTATCTAGAATATATGAAGAACTCTTACCACTCATCTATAAAATACAAATAATCCAATCAAAAATGGGCAAAAGATCTGAATGGACATTTCTCCAAAGAAGGTATGCAAATGTTCAATAAGCATGTGAAAAGATGATTGACATCATTAGCCACTGGGAAATGCAAATGAAAACCACAATAAGGTACCACTTCACATCAACTAGTATGGCTTAAATAAAAAAGATAGTAACAAGTGTTAGTAAGACTGTAGAGAAACTGGAACTCTCATACATGGCTGATGAGGATGTAAAATGATACAACCACTTTGGAAAACAGTCTTCAAGTTTCTCAAAGGCCAAACATATTTATCCTCTAATTCCACTCCTACATATATACTCAAGGGAAACGAAAACAGATATACACAAAACCTTGTAGATGAATGTTCATAGCAGTGTTATTTATAATTGCTCCCAAATTGAAACAACCCAGATGTCCATCAGCTGATGAACAAATAAAATGTAGTATAGTTGTTTAATAGAATATTATTCAGCCATCAAAAATGAATGAAATGCGGCCAGGCACGGTGGCTCACGCTTGTAATCCCAGCACTTTGGGAAGCCGAGGCGGGTGGCTCATGAGGTCAAGAGATCGAGACCATCCTGGTCAACATGGTGAAACCTCATCTCTACTAAAAATACAAAAATTAGCTGGGCATGGTGGCGCACGCCTGTAGTCCCAGCTACTCGGGAGGCTGAAGCAGGAGAATTGCTTGAACCCAGGAGGCAGAGGTTGTGGTGAGCCGAGATTGCGCCATTGCACTCCAGCCTGGGTAACGAGAGAAACTCCATCTCAAAAAAAAAAAAAAAAAAAAAAAGAATGAAGTGCAATACATGCTACAACAAGGATGAACCTTGAAAACATGCTAAATGAAAGAAGCCAGTCACAAAGGACCATATATTGTATGGTTCCATTTATATGAAATAGTCATATCAATCTATAGAGATACATCTTTAGAGACAAAAAGTCAGTGTTTGCCTATTGTTGGGGAGAAGAGGTGGCTTAGAGAAAAAATGAAGAGTGGCTGGTAATGGCAATAGAGTTTCTTTTTAGGGTAATGAAATGTTCTAAAATTGATTATGGTAATGATTGTACAACTCTGAATATACTAAATAAAAAGCAATGATTGTACATTTTATGTGTTTTAATCAGATGGTGTGTTACTTCTATCTCAACAAAGCCGTTAAAAAGTATGAGGATATTATGAAAAACCTTACATCCCCCCAAAATTCATCTACTTAGATGAAATGTACTTATATATCAAAATATTCTTTAAAAGTCTTATTAAAATGAACACAAAAATAAATAGAATATTGAATAGTTATATATCTGTTTAAAATATTGAATCTTTAAGTGAAGTCCTCCCATACAGAAAACTTCAGTTTACTATATTTCATAGATGATTTATTCCAAACATTTAAGGAAAAATAATAGCAAACACTTCACAACATGTCTTATGAGGCCAGCATAATCTGGATACGAAAATCTGATGAAAACATTATAAGAACAATGACAAGCCAATGTCTCTCATGAACATAAATACAAATATTCTAAACATAGTAGAAACTTAAACTTTTCTATAAAAAGATAATAAATCATGACCAAATGGAGTTTATTCTAAAAATAAAATTTTGGATTAACTTTTGAAAATCTGTGAAATTAACCACATTAACAAATATATGAGGGAGATCACATGATTAATAGATGCAGAAAAAGCATTTGACACAATTCACCCTTCCAAGAAAAACCTCTCAGCAAACTAGAAGTAGAAGCAAGTTATTCAACTCATACCATCAAATATATCTATCTCATGTCCAGCACACTTCCAAATGTCATGTCCTATAGACACAATGAAGGGAAAACACTAATGTGTTTATCTAAACAGTGTCTAGGTGATGAAGCAGATTTGGAAGGAACCTGAGCTGTTCAGTGCCTGTTTAGTAGTGGGGCTCCCCCGGACCATTTATATTAGCACTGTTAGGTTAGAGAGACTTAAAAAAAAATTTTTTTTTAATTGATTGATCGACTGATTGGAGACAGTCTCAGGATCACAGGTGTACACCACTACACCCGGCTAGTTTTTGTATTTTTAGTAGATAGAGGTGGGATTTCACCATGCTGGCCAGACTGGTCTCAAACTCCTGGCTTCAAGTGATCCACCCACCTCAGCCTCCCAAGTGCTGGGATTACAGGCATGAGTTAGTTTTTTTAGCCACTGTGATGGTGTATTTTTGTTTAAAAGGCTTAGCCACACCCCTACTAATGGAGAAACTGGCATGTAATGTATTTCACTTGAAAGCATAGATGATTTGAAAGCATTTGGTGATCAAGATGACTATGCATCAAAAATGTTTATTGAAGAAGTTTACAGTGTCTATCTGTGCAGATCAATGAAGAGAACTGAATTGGCCCACAGTGATATGGGACCCGTTTCCTTATCAGTTTTAATTCTGGCATTTGCTAGAATAAAAATAATTGTTTTATTTTGGTACATATCATATAATTGAGTTTTGGGAGCCTTTTAAACACTTGAAGCTGTGCTGATTTATGTATTTTGATGAACTTAACCATTTACCTTTATTACAATTACTGACGGATTTGAACTTAATTCTGCTTTACTTCTTTTTGTTCACCCCTTACCCCCCACCCCACTTTTCTTACTTTCTATTGCAGGGGTCCCCAACCCCCAGGCCATGGACCAGTACTGATCAGTGGCCTGTTGGGAACTGGGCCACATAGCAGGAGGTAAGCACAGGCAAGCAAGCATTACCACCTGAGCTTCTTCCGGTCAGATCAGTAGCAGCATTTAGATTCTCATAGGAGCATGAACCCTATTGTGAACTGCATATTCGAGGGATCTACGTTGCGTGCTCCTTGTGAGAATCTAACTAATGCCTGATGATCTGAGGTGAAACAGTTTCATCCTGAAACCATCCCGCTGCCCAGCCACCTGCTACTTCGCATTCATGGAAAAATTGTCTTCCAGGAAACTGGTCCCTGGTGCCAAAAAGGTTGGGGACCACCGTTTATTGAATTTGAAAGTCCTATCTCAGCTGGGCGTGGTGGCTCACATCTATAATCCCAGCACTTTGGGAGGCTGAGGCAGGAGGATCACATGAGATCAGGAGTTCGAGACCAGCCTGGCCAACATGTTGAAACCCCATCTCTGCTAAAAATACAAAAATTAGCTGAGTGTGGTGGCACATGCCTGTAATCCCTGCTACTGGGGAGGCTGAGAGAGGAGAATTGCCTGAACCCGGGAGGCAGACGTTGCAGTGAGCTGAGATCACACCAGCAGAGGAAACTGTGTCTCAAAAAAAAAAAAAAAAAAAGTCCTATCTCACCTTTTACTCCTACTTCTTTGGGAAGCTCTAGAATGCAATTTCTATTCGTTTGCTAATCACCTTGAAAATTTTAACATAGTTACTCAGTATTTCTCTTCTAAACATGCCTATTTTATTCCCATCCAAGCCTGCTGTAACCACACATTGAACACCCCCAAACTGCTCAAGCTGATCTTACTATTTTTGTATTAGAGTTTAAATTTTGACTACTTTTTAAATGCATAAAAATTATGTATTAATTGTATGTAATTATGAGTTACAAATAATTAAATGTACTTATTTTTAAAAACATGATTGAAGAAATTCTCTTTTCTCACAATCCTTCCTTCCTTCCTTCCCTCCTTCCTTCCTTCTTTCTTTTTTCTTTTCTTTTCTTTTTTCTTTTCTTTTCTTTTTTTTCTTTTCTTTTCTTTCTTAGATGGAGTCTCACTCTGTTGCCAGCCTGGAGTGCAGTGGCATGATCTCGGCTCACTGCAACCTCTGCCTCCTGGGTTCAAGCAATTCCCCTGCCTCAGCCTTTCAAGTAGCTGGGACTACAGGTACGCGCCACCACACCTGGCTAATTTTTTGTATCTTAGTAGAGACGGGGTTTCACCATGTTGGCCAGGATGGTCTCGATCTCCTGACCTGGTGATCCGCCCGCCTCAGCCTCCCAAAGTGCTGGAATTACAGGCGTGAGCCACCTCGCTTGACCTCGCAATCTCTTTTCTAAGACTAAATGAGGTCCCAGTGCTTGCCTGACACACAGTAGGTTCTCAATAAATGAAGCACATCTCCCATCCCCTGCCAAATAAACAGTTGTCTCTTTAAAACTAGACATGGGTGCTCAGCAGGCATGTGTTTCTCTGTGTTGGATTCATTTCATGGACAGTTGTCAAAGACTGACCTCGTTATGTTAATTTTCTGAATACTGTACTTGACTGTGTTGCAAGCTAAATAGTTCAGGATTAAATGTTCTCATTTCTGAGATGTGAAGTGTTAAAACTGATCAAGAAATGAAGGCAGAATGTCTGCCCTTTGGGAGAATCATCAGCCAGTCTACGTTGCTGCCACTCTTGGCTGCCGTTTGGAATGCAGCTGTTAAGGCAGCTGTTTAACTGTTTGTCCAACTTGAAAGGACACTGCCAAATGGCAAATATTTTCTAGAACAACATTTTACTTTTGCTAAGAATAATAACACTGCATTTTATTGAGTTCCAATGGTATGCCAAACATGACAGATTTATTACTAGTCAGGTTCACAGCATGGACTGAACGTGGATGATCATTTCAATTTTTAATATATTGAGAATAAGAATAAATGGCTCCCAAAGGAAGCCTCTATACAAAACATCTCTACAGCTTAATTATTTGTTGAAATGACAGCGATTAACTTGAAAAAATGAAACATCTCTGAAAGAAAAGATGAGAATCTAGAAATATCAAAGGAAAAAAAGAAGGTTTAAGTATTTTAAATCTCTCTAATGTGGCCTAAGAAAGACTTAACCTACTTGTCCAGGACAGGTGAGGTCAGCAGTAATACAAGGAAATACTTCATCTATTGAATCCGCTACAATTTATGGGTCCCAGGACTTCTGAGTCATGTTAATTACACAGCAGTTAGTGTGTAATCCTCACAAATATTTGTCAAGACTGCAGAGGTGAGGGGTGGTGGGGGGGATGCATTCTCACTTATTAAACCTCAGGAGACAGAGCCAGAGCAGAGATATTTTTGAAGGTGAACTGGGCTAATCAAAGGCATGGCCAATGAAGATTCTAACCTACTTTTTCTCTACTGTTTACTAGATGTTAATTAAACTACACACAGCCTAACCTGGCTGTTTCTTCAAATTGCAAAAGCATGCGTTACTACAGAGTAGACATGATTTATTGGACAAAGATAGACAAAGCTCCACATGCTGGGTAATGGTCACCGAGGACATCAAGCTTTGTGATCCTCTTTTTCAGGGATACAGAAAAACAGCAAATGCAAATCTTGGATGAAATTTACAAGATCACTTCCACAGAAAGAGTCCAGTTGTTGGAGAAAAACTGGCTGTGCAACTGACTGAACTGAGGTCTGAGACAGAAGAGCTGGGAGCTCTTCCTGGAACAGCTAATCAAGTTTACAGGTAAATAGTGGCAGTGAGAAGGTGTGCTCTTCAGGGGCTTTACCCCTCACTCACTCCATAATCTCCATCAGCGCCCTCTCTTCTTTTTACCTGGACAATTGACACTATCTCAAGTTCAGATAAATAGTGTACAATGGCAGTTTCAGGTACCCATTTCTAATCTGATTGCTGCCTCTAAGATTTTTCTATATTCTAGATTTGTTAAGACAGATCCAAGCAAATGTCTTACCAAAGAAAATGTAAACGTGTTTTCACATGTTCACTAATGCTATTGTCTTAAAGTTACAGAAGCTATAATACAAATCATACTTAATGAAAGGAGATCTCATTTTATCTAATAATATTTTAATTGAATTTGATCTTGATTTTGGTGAGAAATTTAAAAGCTGAAATAATGCTAGGTATTTGGTAATACCTTATGCAAAACAATGTTCGGTGAGTGTTACCAGCACTGTAGATTCTTGCTGTCTCCCAGGATAGAAATCAACAGAAATCACCAAACAGAGCAACAAAGTGAAGTTTATTCAGCTTGCGCACAAGAGAGCCAGCACCAATAAAAGAAAAGGAAAGAGCTGCTCCCCCAGGGTAGTGTATGGGTTATTTTTATAGGATCTTTTGATAGAGAAGGGTTACATCAGGGCATATATAGGAGGGGTTTTTCTAGTGCTTGCGCACTTGCTCAATATGCTTCTTGATACATCAGATGTAGCATTAGTATTTTAAATGTTCACCCCAAGCGTTATTCTTAGCACAAAAATGAGAAAGGGGTAATTGTAGGTTGAGTTTGAGTTCTAACATGTGGGACTTCATGGAAGTCTCTAGCCCCACAAAGTAGGAACTTGCGGTTAATAATTTCTTGGGTCTTTTGTTACTGATTTGCGGAGAGTTAAGTAAGCTAGAGCTTCAGTAGGGGCTTGTGTTCTTCTCTAGAGTAGATCACAACCGGAAGCCCGTCAGCCTGTTTCATTAGGAGCTCTTCTATAGGTAAATGCTGCCAACGACAGCGATCAAGTTCTTGTAGAGAAACGGGAGACACAGATCAGTCCCTAATGGCAAGTCTCATGGGCCCAGGACCTTCATATTCCTCTGTTTTTGTTACTGCCACAATTGATCAAAGGAAACAGTATGAGAACCATGGTAGGTTGAATAATTGAGAAAACACAATGTGGGTGGTGAGAAGTTGGGAGAGATCAGAAGATGCAGTAAGCAGGTGAATTCGTATTTCATTCCAAAGACAATTCTGAAGAACCAGCATTTCATATGTTTTTAAATTAGTATTTAAAACCACTAGGTGTCTGAAGGCAATCAGATTGTGTGATGAGATGGAAAGATCATGGAACCATGCAAGTCATAATCTCTCTCAACTTTGGTTTCTTTATTTGAAAAACAAGGTTAAAAATATATACCTTGCCTATCTACATAAGGTCATGAGGATAATGAGATGATGCACGTCAAAGTATTTTTAAACAAGAAAACACAATGCAAAGATCAAGTGTTGATATTATTGTGATTTAAATGTCAGAATGTCAGGCAAGCGACTCCCCAGTGTACACTGGGATAAGAAAGTCTTTCTGATGTCTCTTAGAATAGAGTGATGGGAAATCCTGGATAGCCTTATTTGTCTGCTCCCCCAAACCACACAATACTGCACATGGAAGAATCTGTTAGTCTAACAAATACTTCTTGAGCACCTTCTGTTTTCCAGGAGCTGTGCTAGGTTCTAGAGTCCAAGGGATACGGAAATATCTACTCCTGATATTCACTTTAACATTCTCATTCTAGTAGCCTGAAAAATCTATTGAGGTCTTCAGGAGAACTGTGTGTCTTAATCGTTTTTCCTTCCTTCCTTTTTTTTTTTTTTTCATCTTTTCCCTCGTTTTACTCCACAAACCAAAGACTTTGCAGTGGTTGTTTCATAAATTCTTGCTGAATGAATAAATGAATGAACGTATGTTGAATGAACAATGCTTGATGAACATATGAGTAAATCTTTTTGCAGGTTGATGTATACATTATTTATGTACACCAGTCTCTTCTGGGTCATCCACAGGCACTTGGAGGTTCAGTGAGAGGAAAGACAAGATCTGAGTGAGAGAGGGGCTGAGTAGTTAAGCCCATGACCCTCCCCATCTCCCAATATGCCAAAGATAAGGAGACAAGAGGGCAGGGGAAAGTTTCTTCTGTTTCTCTAACTGCTTGGTAATAAGGTAATAACTAATCCCTTTTTTGGTTCATTACTCGTTCCCCACGGCCACGAGGCTGCAACCAGTTTTCAGTAATCACAGAAATTATGCCTTATGTTTATTACCGCTTTTATTCTCAAAACCCTTTCAGAGCTCCCTCTTTTTTTTTTCCATTAAAGCCAAGATGTTAGGAAATAAGAGGGGCATTATCTCCAACCTCAGGGGTGGAAATTTGACACAATTTGTCTAAATGGGTTGCTGAGGCTCACTTGGCTGATTAATTTCTTGCCAGTCAGCCTGGGGTTCTTTTCACAGAACCACTGCCTGCAGCGAGGGAAATTGCTGGCAAGTGTACAAACCAACAGTGTAAGTTTTATCTTCCCTTAAAACTTACCTGGGAACTGATAGGGCCATATGAACAATATTAACCTAAATGTCACTGCTTACTCCTCCTTCATAATCTCTAGGTGGTTTCTCACCTGTGTTCCAGAATGACCTGCTGTGGCCCCTTGCCAATGTCTGCAAAATACTGTCTTGAGAAAGTGATGTCTGCATCAGGGTTGCTGTTTCCTGATGTTTCCAAAGCTGCCAGACCTTGGGATACCTTTTTTTTTTTTTTTTTTTAGACGGAGTCTTGTTCTGTCACCAGGCTGGAATGCAGTGGTGCAATCTCGGCTCACTGCAACCTCCGCTTCCTGGGTTCAAGCGATTCTTCTGCCTCAGCCTCCCGAGTAGCTGGGACCACAGACACATGCCACCATGCCTGGCTATTTTTTGTATTTTTAGTAGAGACGGGGTTTTACCATGTTGACCAGGATGGTCTCGATCTCTTGACCTCGTGATCCGCCCACCTTGGCCTCCCAAAGTGCTGGGATTACAGGCGTGAGCTACTGCGCCCGGCCACCTTGGGATATATCTTATCCCTAATGTGGAGCGCTCTGCTGTTCCTGACCCAGGGTCCCACCCTCTTGACAGGTGATTCCACAGCTTGTGCCTGCTTGTATCAGAGTCCATGGTAAAAACAACAACTCCTCACAACTGGGCATGTACAGGAATCCACAAGGCTGCTTAAACAGGCACTTCTGCTATAAATGTTTTTACTAGGAATCAGTAATTTTCCTAAAGCAGTTTGGTTAAAATAATTCCTGAAGAATTTCATGTTTAATATTTAAGAGTTATTCCCCACCCCCCAGCAGATAATTCATCAAGAACACAAAAATAAAAGCATTTTGTTTTAAATTACACAAAGCTGGTTTTGTGTGACAACTAGGTGAAAATGGGATCTGATAGGCACAATATTTGTCAGAGATAAGGTTGCTGGAGGGACAGGTGGGGAAATAAAAATCCTCACCATTGTATCCCTCCCTATACTCTGCAGTAGGAAATAGTGAGGTGAATCGAAGGTAGACAGACATACTATGTTTGTATGGGGAGGAGAGAGAAGAATTGACCCAGGGAAATGTTTAACAAACATGCTAATCAAAGAAGAATCAAAAAAGATTCTGACCAAAACAAAAGGATGTGGCCTTTGCATGCCCTCAATAATCCAGTATAATATGGTATACTTATTCAGAAATGAGCATTTGTGAAGAGTTACAGATTAATCATGGCCTATCTATAATCTGGTCTATTACAGCTTCTGTAATTACCACTCCTATTGCATAAATCTTTCTGCAGCTCTGTTCAAATGCCAAAGGACATTTATTACTTTAGAAGAGAGAAGGAAATGGCACTGAAGAAAACCTTACAGGTGAGTAGGAGAGTGGGCTATTTCAATACAACAGGAAGTTTGATTTTGCTGACTTGGTAACTTTTAGCAGAAACAGTTGATTTTTGCAGACAAACAGCTGATGCTATTACCAGTATTTGTAAGAAGAGAAGAGTCCACTATTCAGTGTAACCACTGGATCAGAGCAGGCCATTCTTTCCTTGGAAATATCTGATTTTGTGATATTTGAAATTTTACAGTTCTTTAATTTGGGATGTTAAAACTTAGTTATTTGGGTTTAGGTGGCTGAGTCTGAGCCCCTTGTTGTTCAGGCAGACATCATGCAGAGGGAGCTAGAGAGCTGCCTAAGAGAGTACACCCCTGAAAATTTACCTTTGCTTCTGTTGCAGGTAAAAGTGATTTTGCAATTTGAAAAATTCATCTGAAATTTAGTAGAAATGTATGGACAAAGCTGGCTTTTTTTTTTTCTCGACATGTTTAGTTTGCAGAACTTGGTAAGTGTAAATGCTATTCTTTGTTAGAGATCTATTCCATAGTTTTAAATTTGGCTTAAAGGAACCAAACAATTGACTGAATTTCCACTAAATACTTTCTGTGTTGATAATATAGGGCAATCTGACATTGACTAGGACAGTTCCAGCCCTTAAAAAGCTATTGGCTATGGCCAGACATGGTGGTTCATACCTGTGATCCCAGCACATTGGGAGGCCGAAGCGGGCAGATCACTTGAAGTTAGGAGTTCAAGACCAGCGTGGCCAATATGGTGAAACCCCATCTCTACTAAAAATACAAAACTTAGCTGGGCATGGTGGCACACGCCTGTAGTTCCAGCTACTCAGGAGGCTGACGCAGGAGAATCGCTTGTACCCAGGAGGCAGAGGTTGCTGCAATCTCAGATTCTGTCTCAAAAAAAAGAAAAGAAAAGAAAAGCTATTTGGCAACCTAAAGAAGGCATTTCTGAGAAAAATTATTTTATCTTATTTTATTTTATTTTAATTCACCATGTTGGCCAGGCTGGTTTTGAACCCCTGTCCTCAAGTGATCTGCCTGACTTGGCATCCCAAAATGCTGGGATTATAGCTGTGAGCTACTGTGCCCGGCCCTGGAAATTTCTATTAAGAAAATATCTC